CATGCACCTGCAACGTTCCGTTCCAAGCGTTTTCACAACGTCTCCTGAGTTGAAGACATTCTTTTCGACGATTTAGGACCGAATAAATCGACCATTGTGCCTACCGAATGATTATGGATTGCCTTACCTGAAGTTTAATAGAGTTTTCGGATATAACGGCTAGCCCTGCGAGAACTGCAGAATCCGATATACTTCTTTGTTTGTACATGCCTATACATTCTCATCCTTGTGCTATATCACCCGCTAACCGAACCATCGCCAGGTTTTCATCGTGTTACAGGGTTTTCCTTGGAAGCTGGCTCTAGATTTCCATTCGTCACCGCACCCTGTCAGACCCCTTAGCCCCACGTTTCGATTGTTTTTCTAGACCTCGTCACACACCCTCTTTGTATGCGAGCACGCCTCAGCGACGCGTTGACGATTGAGAGGTTTTTGCCACTGTTCGCTGTGGCTCATCAGTTACTGCAGATCTACCGGTTGCTAAAGAAAGATTTGAGATAAACGCATAATGTGGGTAACATGAGAGCTCCGCCTCCACCAAGTCGATCATTGAGAGATGGCGAAGCTGTGACCAGAATGTCGGACAGCATTCCCACGCTTGCATTGATACAATTCCCATCGTGAATGCCGTGTAAATGGACCACATAAAACAACATGGCTATGCAGGAGTTGACTATGAACTTGACGCTCGGAGATGAGCATCATGCAAGGTCTGTGAGCGAGTGCTCCGTTAGCCGGCACCCTAGCTCCATGTACGTCACTGGCGCTGAAGCCTCAGATCTTAGGTGGTGTCTGGGTGTCCTATGGCAATATTCGGGGCAGTCGCAAGCCCCTATGAGCGGCTCGATGATAATATTGTGCCACCACCGGTCGTACAGCTAGGACAACCTGCCGCAAAAGTACGCGCCAGGGGCAGCCAAAAGATGCCCAGTCTGTAAACACCTTGCATTCAGTATCTGATCCCTACCATGAACAGTTAAACCTCCGGTATCGATCTACATTTAACAGTATCCATTCCTCATGCGACAGCAACTCCAGCCGTGCACGTTTCGAGATCAACAGCCCTAATAGATGCTCCACCCTCGGTACCAACCAGTCAACAGGATCAGCCAGGAACATTAAAGCTGAACCCGCTTCGATCGACGTCACTCTTTACCGGGTACAGACTCGCCATGAAGAAGTTGGGGACGCCAGGTGGACCCCGTCACCGTTATGTTGACCGTTATGGACGTGCATTCCCGTTCTGACCTGATCCCCTGGCGGCGATGACGATCATACTCTGGGAATGCTGGTGTTTGATGACGATGTCAATGCGATCAAGTGTAGTGTACTTGAAATGAACCTTGGACAAATTGAGGGTTGAGAACATATAAAGAGGGCAATGAGACCTCGACAATTAGAACATCATCACACACCATCCGTCCACATCAACAACCGTACAACACACTTCCAAACCAATACCTCCTTCTTTTTAAGAACCAACCAATCAACCTTCAAAATGCAGTTCACTATCACCGCCGTTCTCGCCTTTGCTGCCACCGCTGCCTTCGCCGCTCCCCTCGATGAGCGCCAGGCTGGACTCTGCGCTTCCGGCACTCCCGTCTGCTGTGCTACCGACGTCCTGAACCTTGCCAACTTGGACTGCGCTCCCCGTATGACTTCCCATCCTCTATCTCTCGATTAGTCAGATTATTAACATTGCCCTAGCTGCCGTCACCCCCACCACCATCAACGCCTTCATCGATGGATGTGCCTCCGCAGGTCAGCAGGCCAAGTGCTGCCTCATCCCCATCCTCGGCCAGGCCCTCATCTGCTCCGACGTCAACCCTACTGCCGACACCACTGCCGCTTAGGCCGACCTAGCGCGTTTTGTCGCCTCTCATCCAACACGGTGCGAATAATGTATATCGTCAAGAGATGATCGTGCCCGGGCTGCTTGGATAAATGTACACTATGTTTGTTTCGCATATCTAGTTAGGGAGTGTCTCTTAATACAAGGTTCCACAAGAAAACCTCGCTTCAATGATGTGACATTGAAATCTTCTATCTATACAAATGCGGGTGCGAATGCGCTGACCCGACATTGACCGCTAAGAACAAGAACGCTAGAAACAAAGTTATACTATGGATATGACTTAGGTATTTTCGCTGGAACGCAAAATACACAAACGAGAAATCAAAAATGGGCCTTGAAGTATACGGCAGTTATGCACGTTGATCAAAACGCCAGTCATTTGAGATCGGGACGCCTCTAGAAGCTGCAGAAATGTCAATGCGATAAAGAGCGCGTACCATAGATACCTAAGTATCCTTGGCGGTAGCACGTAAAGAACTCAGTTGTCCATCCACCTCAGCCTGTTCTTCTCCCATGTCCTCTCGAGGCGAGGCCACACGCCCTCGTCATAGTGTCGATCGAGTATGTCGCCAACCTCCTTGTCCTCGCAGTACACGGCGTTGTGGAAGAAGACGCATGCATTTTTCCAATTTCTCAGGGATGCGTCGTCCTTCGCGAGACCACCACAAGCATCTGTCATTTGTGCCGCCTGTTTGATCAGCGCCGTGATATCACTGATGGTAGGCTGAGATGTATCGCTGTATTTGCTGTAGTCTCCGAGTTTCGCCTGTAGTCGGAGGACGACAGCTGCGCGTTTAAAGCTCAACGCTACCTTCTCCAAACTGGCCTTCACAAAATCAGGAGTCATTTGTTTGGGCGCTTTACCATTCAAGATCTCATGGAAGTCAACAGAAGCAGTGAACTTCCAAAATGTATTTCCAGCGACCATATCCGTTTTGAACCCAAAAGAACTCGGTACGAGCTGCTCCAGCTGTTTATGATTCAGCCCAGACCATGTGTTGATATCTTTGAAGTCCACTGGCGGTAGCGTCTGGCTTTGTATTGATGAGGGGTTGGGATTGTTCGGCGTATTTTGTGGCTGCGATGTGATGGGGTTCGTAGTAGTAGGGCTGCATCCAGTAGCCATGGCGTTGTGGAGCTGTGTCTGCATGTTGGATGCTGGCGGAAATTGCGTACTCGATTGAGGAAATGGTGGCAGCTGTTGTTGGACCAATGGCTGATATGATAACAGTTGGTTAGAGATGGTTGGTGCTACATTGCACTGTGGCGTCGACCACGAGGGCACTTGTGCCACCTGCGGCGGGTGATCACGGGGTGTTTGAGTTGACTGTACCACGGTTTGGAGAGCGGGTAGTGATGGTAGGGGCTCAGTACAATCCAAGTCTTGGATCATGTCCTGCAAACCCAGATAGTTTGCGAACTCACGATATAGCTCGAGGAAAGTTATAAGCTCTGGGCCCCAATACCTTTGAATGTACCAGCCTACAGGAACTAAGAACATCCAGAACTCAATTATGGAGGCGTTCCAACGAAGACCGGAGGACTGTTCCACAGTCATACCATTCTCAAAGTAGGGCTTCAGGTCATTCGCCGCACCCGATATCAAGCTAAAGATCTGACCTGCCGAAGACCTGCATTCGGTTTTGGTATCGGCGGAGATAAGAAAAGCCTTCATCGCGGCCTGGAGAATAGGCGCTTGTCTTGCGTGGTACTCGATCGTCATTCTTGCCGAATTCGCTGTTTGTAGACAGTTGTAAACAGTTGCCGGAGTGAACGTTGTAGTTGTTTGAGGTTCACATGAAGGCGCCAACGTGTAAGCAGACGGCGTTGGTGTCGTCTTGGGAGCAGATCGGACAGATAGTTCAACGGCCTTATGAGCAGGCGTGACAACTACATCATCCTTCATGTTGTTCGTCGCAGACTCCGCAACATGCTGAGGCTTCGACGTAGTATCTTCCGTGTCAACGTTCTTGTCGTCGGTAGACATACATGCTCCTGGCATATACATGAACATAGCCATCCACTTGCGGTCAGCGCAGCGTAGTTGTCCCCAAATCTTTGGATACTGCATCGATCTGTTCCGATCAAGATGCGCGAATGACTCGCCGGTTCCACGAAAGTTTTTGAAGGGTAATTGAAAGGGTGGCGGATATGCGGGGGGAGCTGGTTTTTCTTGCGGTAGTGTTGGAGATGCTGGTATAACGGGTGTTGAGGTGGGAGTACTAGCCTTCTTCGTGTTCTGCGATTTTCTTCTTTCGGCAAGTTCATTGAGGTTGTTCTTGGGGACGACTGAAAAGACACCTAACTTGAGAAGGAACTCGGCGAGCACACGTGGTGTATATACACCGATCGTGAGGAGGCCAAGGACGCGGAGCCAGGTTGGGATTCCGTTATTGCTATATTCATAGCAGATGTTCCAGTAAAGATAGTTTACTTCCCAGTATAGTTCATCGAAACACTCGCTAAGACAGTCGATGACCTTGGGAACAACTCCAGAGGACACGATGGTGTGGCCGATTCCGAGAGTTACTAGGAGAAGGCAGAAAAGAATAGCGATAGTGTCAGGATGCATCTTTGTAGCAAAACGTGCGACACACGAGCTCGAGAAGAGGGGCATGACGGGCTCTCAGGATCAAACAATGCCTTGTGGATGTTTTGATAGTTGTGGTACCGGAGTTGGATCGTTTAGACGTACGGTTGCGCGCAGTCGAGCGAAGGTTGGGCGATGAGGAAATGTGTTTTAGTGTGCGTGGGCAAAAAGATATTTCGGCTGCGACTGTGGCTGGGTCCTTTTCAGATAACAATTCACTACGAAAACAATAACACTGATATCGCAAGGCAGAAGCGAGTCGCAAATTGCGGTGCTGGACAAACGGAGGGCTTGGCGCGATATCGGTGGCGAGTAGGGAGTGAAAGGAACGATGACCATAGATAGAACTTATCGAAGTCAAATCATCAGATCCTAAATGATATCTGCGTGTAGAGGAGCACGCCCTTTCAAAGGATGGTGCTATGAATGCATCGTTGACGAGGGACTCGCTGGACTTGGTGCATAGAACAGATGATAAACATCCACAACCAAGTAAGATAATTGGGGTGAAATGGAGATTAACCTACATGCACGGTTTCTGAATTAAACCGACTTTCACTTTCTTCGTCCAATCTGGATATCCAAAGCTTTCGCAAGGATGTAGAGCATTTCCAACCGCACACATGCCACACCCTTCTCTTTACCCATCCGGACCGGGTTACCTACAATAGCCTCTACTTCGATTCTTCGATCCGACTGAACATCTTGAAGCATACTGGGTTCAATACCGGACTTGTTCGGAATCCTGGCCTGCGCCCGCCCGAGCTGAACGTTTACCTCTTCCAATGTGATTTCGTATCCGTGAGCAGCCGCAATATCGCGAATCTCCAACATCACGGCTAGAACCACACCGTTCGCTTCTTCCGAAGCAATGAGTACATCCGTGTCTTTGCTTAGAGCAAGAGCACATATAGGGTTCCAGGACGCATTCACAAGTAGCTTGAACCATCGTTTTTGCTGAACATCGTCATAGAATTCCGCTGTAGCACCGGCAGAAGTGACAAGCTCTGTGAATTTTTTCGCATGCGTTCCTTCCGCAGATGATGGGTAGGCTCCGACTTGGAGTTGCTCGACTTCGCCGTGTTTAATGACACCGGCTGGCCGCTGGGTGGCAGGTAAATACACAACGGCACTAATGATCGAATTGTCCGGATATGCCCTTAGATATTCTTCTTCGATACCAACGCCATTCTGAATAAGTACGATAGCCGTATGTCCAGGTGTTACAGCAGGAGCGATAAGCTTCGGTACCGTATCCGGGATAGCCTTACTGCAAACGATGATGTAGTCGAATGGATCCGACGATTGAGATGCTGCTTCTTCACAATCCCGTACAACGTTGGGTTTGAAGTGCAGATTCTGGCCAAATATCGATGAATTAATGGTGAAGCCGTCTTTCTTTACGACTTCGTAGTTCGAGCGGCAGACGGCAGTAGTTGAAGCTACCTTGCTGAGAAGGTACAGATATACTGTTCCCACGCTACCGGCACCGAAAAGAAGAATCCTAGGCTGCGACTCAGAAGACATGGCAAAACTTCGGTATCGAGAAGGGTGTTGTGCTAGGTCTGTTGCAGTGCAATGTGAAGATTGCATGGATGTTAGAGTCTTAGCCTCACGGCGATAGCCGTACCCCCAAATCCTTCGCCCCGGCATTAGGACCCGTATCCTCTCAAAATCGTTTAGGCACTCCATTACCCACGATCAGTAAGCCACCCGCGGTAACGGCCAATACTCCATTTTATGCTCAATCACCAAGCTAATTTGACTGGCAGGACAGTTTTACTCACGAGCTTAGTCTTTTTAGTACATGCTCCCACAATAACATTATCATTCAGGATGCAACATCGCACAAACAATTATACACCATTCATTGACATGCGGAAGCTCAGCTAGCAGCATCGAAACTGAAACAAGGATCACAGCCGCACGCGGGTCCTGCAAAGACGATTCGTGGCTTTTCATGCAATCTAAACGATGGCCTCCATTCGCTGCCCCTCGTTACCCATGCCGCACCCTGCATGCTGGGGCAAGGAAGAGAGTGGTCAGGTCTGTGAGGCTATAATCGATACGTCTCCCAAGAGCTGGGCAGATAAATCCAAGTCGCTCGAAATGACTAGTGATTCCTGGCCCCATTCGCCAGCTGTAGGTATAACAGCCACGAGCTGATCCGGCGCTCTCGTATTCTGGTAGTCTGTTTAGCCTCATCGCGATACGCAATCTGCCGGCAGGGTACCGCGCACCATCGCGACGATGAACAACCTCTTTTTCGTCCTTCTTAGCGCGTTCGTAGCGCATGTTGCCGCGACGAGTCAGATCGCGCTCTTCTCTGATGATAACTGTCAAGAATCGTTGAGAGGTCTCGAAGGCCCAAACGGCTACCCCAACGGCACCTGTACAGATCTCAGGCGCAATGGCGCGTACGGAAGCTTCCAGGTCGTGGGACTGGACCCAGGCTGCGCTGGTATGTGCTTTGTGCGAATGAGGACGCGATAGTCCGGACGGCTATGCTAACCATCCGTATAGTCACCATTTACATGAACGACACGACGGTCGACATCTGTTCCGGCTACCAAGAAGAAATTCAACCCATCGACTGCTACAACTCAACTTTCGTATACTACAGCATCGACTTCTGTGACGCTGGTGCCATCGGTGCCTCGCCGTCTGCAACACCTACGCCTAGTTCCACGCCGTCGCCGTCGCCGTCGCCATCCCCACCTCCCCCAGCCTCCTCGGGCCCATCGACAGGCGTAATAGTGGGGGCAGCAGTCGGTGGAGGAATATCGCTGGGCATCATAATTGGACTGGCAGTGTTTTTCTTCATGAAGAAGCGAAACTCAGCACGTCTGCAGGAGGCACGAGGTTTTGCAGAGCTTACAAGCGTGACACCCGTGACACCAGTTGAGGTGCACGCAAAGCACATCCAGGAGCTAGGTCCAGGAGCGGTAGCGTACAAACATAATCCTGTGGAGATTGAGCAGCCTCCTGTTGAACTCGCGGGGTTGGAGATGAGGCGCGATGAAGGGAGACGACTGCATTAGAACCAGATAACTCGGGTACATGTATTCGAGCTATTAAACGCATATGCATGTTATGAACAACGCGGCGTTCACAGAAGCAGTACATCGTAACTCTATCCAGAGTCCACCTGAAGATCACCATGCTGGATTCTGGAACCACAAGCCCAGGGAAGTGCATGGATGGGCCGGCTTCCCCCTCGCGTCGAAGAAGCTCTCAGAGGTCTGCCGCTACTTCAGCAAATACCCAATCACCATCTCGATAGATGATATCTCCTTCCAGTGCCGCTTCACCAACATCAAACGCGACCCTGTGGAGATATACTTCGCCTGCTTCACTCTTAACGCCACGGCCCATGAACGCTGTTCTGGGCTGGCTGCGCATGGCACTAAGAGCAAGCTCCACCGGCTCCGAGTCGAAGAGCTGCAAGACCCCATCGTCGTCCTGGCTACAGCGTCTCACAGTCATCGGTGAGTGTGGGTAGGGCGCTTTCTCGAGAAGTCTGAAGAGCCATAGGTACTCAATCCTGGGCATTGTCTCGATGATCTGTAATGGTTCGATCCAATTCCCTTGCGGAAAGCCTATGGATGAGCATGATATATGTTTCAAGGTCGCAGCGTGCAGGCGTAGGAAGTTCGTCCACTCATTGTGCGAAAGAAACACATCTGTAAGATGGATATGCGAGAAGCCAGGCCAGTGGAATTGGAATGATCCAGCTGGCTGGTAAGATAGCTCTAAGAAAGTGTAATTGCCTTGGAACTCGAACTTGCGCAAATCTGAAGCTGTGCTGAGCAATTTTTGAAGCCATGCATGACTGACTTGACCGAGGACCGAAACCTGACGTACTTGTTTTGAGAAATGGTCTTTCCAGACTGCGGAGTCGAGATCAAAGAATGTGATCATGTCGTCGTTGGAATACTCTGTGTTCCAGAATTCGAAACCCAGCCCTATCTTGTTGTGTAAGTTGGCCTCTTGAAGAGTCCGCAGAACCAAGTCATATACTCGATTTGCGCCGCTATCTCCACGCCTCTCCCTTTGCTCGTCCTCCTGTGTCTTTTTTGAAAGTATGTGAGCTTTTCCACACCGGATACCGGCATCGACGGGCTCGGGATCGCAATGATAGAAACTAATCACATCGATCTGAATAATCTGTAGGTTTTCAAGCTCGCGGAATACCTGATTAAGAATGAACGAATCCATGCCGGAGCGCTGAACACTGACTTGGAGATCTTTCTGGGTTTCCTCTTCTTTGACCTCGTATATGCTGTGTCCAACACGTTCGCCGCTCACGGTGATCTGGCGGACATGTTTGGACAATACAGGATGATGGCAGATTTCGAATAGCGTGGTAAGACTGGTAGGGTGCAGGATGACAACGAGGTGACGGAAAAAGCGTCGTCCAAAGGCATTTGCCGAATTGGCGTTGAACGCGCGACATACGCAGCGTACACCGATAAGTTCTTCATCCTCAAGATAATCGAAGGTGGCGCCCACGACCTCCAACGGCAAGTCGAGCAGTCGAAAAGGCAGTTGCGACGCTCTAACAAGAGCCGCTTTTGCTCCGTCACAAGCAGTGATCATGGTGGTAGTGCAATCCTAGTGGTGGTAGAAAAAGTGGGAATGAGGAGTTCGAGTCGGTTGTGAGTGAGAGAAGATTGTTGTCGTGGCTGAGACGTTCTTGCCCACTTGTTTACACCAGGGTCATGCGCTTTCGATGATAAGCCAAACTATCACTTTAAGAAGGCACCACTGAGAACATAGCAGCATAAGGTTTGCTCTTGACTGCTTAAGGGATACAACATCACTGTTCTTACGAGATACAGTATGCTGGACAGTGATCCTTGGACGCCGCGCTTTTAGCCAACCATCTCACACACTGGCATAATTTGAGGATGAAGAGAGGCTGATCAAAGGTAATGATAAATGTACAAACGTGAAAAGAGGTCTATGGCCATGTACCAGAAGTATGGAGATATCAAGAGTGTAACGCCGCCGAATGAGTCTCTAAACTCCGCAAACCAGTGTATCGAATTGAACTCCAGAAGTAGGTGCTACCAGAACCACGAGCCAAATGTGGCCAGCCTAGTGTTGGGTCATCCAGGTGACCCGTATCAACAAGCCCGATTATACGTGTAACTTTTATACACACCTCATGCCACTGCCAGCCTCATTAGCATCTTAAATCTTCTTCTTCTTTGTGTGAAACATGTTATATTCTGGCCTTTTCCTCTTCAGAGTCGGGTCAGGCGCTGACTGCCCATTTGGCGCTCTTGGCTTGGGTGCGCTGAACGACATTCCGGGCGGTAACGACGTCCGCGTGGGTGGTGGAGGATTGCGCTGTTGTGGTGCTGGCCTTTGTGTAATGTTCGGGCGGTTTGCGGATAGCGATGGCGTTGGGCGAGATTCGGATTTGTTGTTAACAGATGCCGAAGCTTGTCTGGACACGACCATGCTTCGTGGAGCCTCGTTTTCCGCCATTCTAACCATCCTTGCCGGTGCCTGCCTAACGGTGGTCTTCCTCTGCTCTAGAAGATGTTGTGGTATGTGGCTAGCCTTCGGGCGTTCGCGACCGTGATCGAACATGCCACGCTTCAGCTTATCGAAGGCGGCTTTGCCAGTCTTCGCAGGTGCACCCGAGGGCTGGCCCCAGCTGCTAGTAGTCCGTCCAGTAAACATCTTACTAGCGCCAGCACCGTACCCGAATCTGGTTTCCACAATCAGGGTCTTGTTCTGTGCGCGATCTTTCTGCAGTGCCTGCATCTGCTGCTTGAGGGCCTCTTTGTCGGCCTCCTTCTCTAGTTCTGCATCTTTCTTCAATTTGCGGTAAACTTTGCTCCAATTTCGAGGATCGCGTGGCTCGTGTGGCTTCTTCTCCCAGTCCGGAATGTCGCGCTTGATGAAGCGAAGCCAAATCTCGCCCGTCTCTCCGAGTAACTGTGGGCAGTTTGCCTCGAGCTCGAGGAGCTGGTCTGGGCTTTGTACGAATCGGAGGACTGGTTGCAGGAAGGAGTAGGGTAGATCGCCAACATCGCGGAGCATATCGATGTTCTTAATCAGGCGCTGTCGAGCCAGCTCGAAGAGGCTTGCGACGGGCATGGTGATGGGACGGTTTATTACGGGGTCTATCCAAAAGCGTAGGGTACAGAATGTTGCGAGGCGAAAGTCGAGGGTTGAACGATGCGGTGATGCAAGGGCCGCTGGTTGTATAAATATAGTTTGCCGTGTAATCTCGTTGGTAGGGTGACTGCTACGTGACGTGAATCATGAATAGGCGGAATGAGGGCAGCGTGGACCGTAGGATGGGGCTGAGGACCCCACGGAACTCACGACAGCATCTCGGTAGGCTAGTTGGGAAAGAGAGGTTTACTGGATAGATGGCGCTTCCCAGAACAATGTTAAGCGACTTAGTGAAAAGTGAACCAAGGGAGGTGAAGGCGAAAGTGATGAGGACGGTGTTGGGGACATGTCGCTGACGTCTGGTAGCGGTGCTAGACGCTAACAGAGACCCTTGTCGTACGCGTTCATCAACCCGCGGAACCTCAATATCGCGACTTCAACAACGACAACGACTTACCCTATACCAACAACCTCATTACGCCAGTAGCCGAAACGGGAAAGAATGGCGATCAAGGATTGGGGCCTCTTATCTCAGGCGGACGAAGGTAGGCCACCCAACATCTGGCACGTAGCTTCTACTAATTCCAACAGATGCGCTTCACAATGTATCCCGCCTACTAGCTGTCGAAGCTCGTCCATACACAAATACCGCCGGTCGCATACTCAAGCCGGACTTCTTCGAGGATGCGCGCCCCAGACAACTCCCCTCTCCGCCCCCAGATGCCTCTGCCGCAGAGGAGGAAGCAGCGGCAGCCACTGTCGAGCGCGAGCAACAAGCACACAATATCGAGATATGGCGGAAAGACATCATGAATGAGCTGTCACTACTAGACTTTGCGATACTGCGATCTGAGTTCACCACAAATAGCAATCACACTGAGCGCGAGCGTTACGCTGTTGAGAAGACGGCCATCGAGGCAAAGCAAGAGCACGTGCGCAAGACGATAGAAGATCTGCGCATCAGACTAGTCGAGGCCAAAGAGACACTCGCCGTACGTAAGACGTATGACGAGCTCACGGAGAAGATCACCAGCAGTAAGATGCTGAAGCCGCGGGACGAGCAAGCACATGCCCACGAGAAGCTGGACCAGGAGATAGAAGAACTCAGAAACGAAGTGCAATCGGCGAAGAACACCTGGAGTGAGCGCCGCACGCAATTCGGACGAATCGAGGAAGAGGCACGCGGCATGTTACGCATGATCAAGGACGAGAAAGAGGAAGCTGAGCGCAAGGAGGGCATGATGAAGGATGGAGACGAGGATGGTGAGGGCGAGGGCAGCACTTCTAGAGGAGATGTCAGCCATGCTGGCACCCCGAGGCCGGATGGTGGCATGACTCCAGGGCATGCCAGTCAAAGTGGAGAAGGTTCGTCTCTGAGGGTACCACCACAGGATCGCTTGAAGCCTCTATCGCGGGACGTCAGCGCTGCGCCATCCCCTGCCAGATCTGGTGCTGCGGATGACGCAGAGATGGTAGATATGGGGGCAAACTCAGGAGATGGAAACGATGGTGATTCTTCCGGTCTTGAAGAAGGCGAAGACCTTGAAGATGGGGAGGAAGATGGCGAAGATCGCTCAGAGATCAAGATGGACGAGTCGTGATTGTGCTTGAACAGCAGTCTGCTTGATGATTTGATTGCATAGCGCGGTGTTCTGGGTATCATTCCATCTTCTTTATAGCGGTGCCATGTCCAGCTGCAGTACCATCTATCTATCTCTCCAGTGGTCACGAGTCTAAGCGGCCTCACGCATGGCTGCCTTGCCCTTCTCAACAGCCTCTTTCGCCTTGGTGACTTCCTCTGGTGATGCCTGGCCGCCGCCTTCCTTGTTGTTCTCCTACAAGTTATCAGTACTAGGTACTCAGCTCAACTATATGTCGACTTACCAGCTCCTCCTCCAGCTTCTCCACTGCCTGCTCGATCTTGATCTTCATGCCAGGCAGAACATTCTTGGTTTCTTGGAGGGCTTGACGCTGTGCTATTGTTAGACCCGGTGTGCCAGATATCCTTCTTGGTGGCCACGCGTACCTCTTGCCTCAAGGTGTACTCAGCATTATCGTCGCCCTCACTGGTCTCGGCCTTCTTGATGCGCGCCTCTTGCTGCTCGATTTCCTTGTGGTAGCTTGCTTCTTCCTTGACAAGGCGGGTCACGACGCCAGTTGCAATAGCGAGCTTGGACGGAGGAGCCATGTTCGAATGAGAATTGAAGTAGACGGGTTTGCAATTTGGAGAGACAGAAGAACAAAGACCTCAGTTGATATACGTCGGTTTATGTGGTTGCCTGCTTGTAAACATTTGTTCACGGCGGGGCTAGCTGCCGCCCCACTACCTAGGAATTAGTTTACAGCGTGTAGACATATGGACCGGCGGAACGTTGCGGTGTTGAACTACGACGATCTTGCATCTGTTTCCAGTCTTTCCTGAAAATTTAGTTGACTGTTAGGTGTCTTTCAGCCTCCAAGCTGCGGCTTCAATTGAGGTGCCAAGACCACTTACGTCCATTTGCAGACTAGACTGAACGCGTCCCTGTGCCCACGCGTCGAAAGGAGAGCGCGCGACAAGCCCACCATCCCTAGCAACCCCTCTAAAACAACAACAACACATTCACTGTTGCTGCCGCATAGAGTGCCACAACCATGGACTCTTCCCCAGCGAAGCGCCGCTCCGAGCGCACATCTGCATCGGCGACTCCAAGACGAAGCGCCCGTGGTCAAAATTCTCAGATACCTGACAGCAGCCCAGCGCCGGCGGGTCCAGACGAGCAGTTGCAGTCTGAGGCTTCGCAGGCCTCGCAGCGTGGATCGCTAGCAACTCCACGCAACGCAAGATTCCAGACCACTTCGACGCAATCCCCGCTCTTCTTCCGCTCATCGCCTGCCAACCCCTCCGGCGCAGGACAAGCTAATGGCGAGGATGAGAGTGATGGTGGTGCGACACCGAAAGCGTCTGCACAGACGATGGGGGGTACGGCGTACTCGATATCAAGTGTTAGACATGTCATTGACAAACTTAGATTCGTCGCCCATTCACTACGCATCTAGCTCTAGCCCTGGCCGTGCCCGCAATGCCCAAAGTAACGTCCCTGGAAGCAGCAGCAGTGCCCTTTTCGTACGTGGCTCCGAATCCGCGGCTCGCAACCGACGAAGCGACATCCACTCAGACGTCTTTGGCACGAGCTCTACCAATCGCCGACGCAGGTTATTTGTCGATGAAAATGGCATGCCTGTACAGGAACCCTCAGACGCACCAACCTTCTCCAACATCAACCCGGATACTTCAGACGCGGAGGTCTTGGGTGGGAACTCCTCTCGAGTCATTTGGGGAACCAACGTATCGCTCGTAGACGCCAGACATGCCATGAGAGATTTCTTGATGAACTTCCGAAGAAAGTATCGCATGATCCAGGACGGCGAGCTGAACGAGGGCATGAATCTCCCAGATAATCATCCGGCCATGGCTAGGGAATATGTTGATATCATGAAGATGATGCTGGAGCTTGGTGTTACGCCTTTGAACTTGGACGCGCGCAATCTCAAGGCTTACCCACCGACCAGAAAGCTCTGGCACCAACTGCAGGCCTACCCTAACGAAATCATTCCCATCATGGATGTTGCAATCAAGGACACCATGCTCGAACTTGCTGAGAAGCGCATGGCGGAGATGCGAACTCAGATGTCACAAGCACAGCGTGCCGCTCAGCCCAGGGGTCGCGATTCCAGTTCGCTCCCGCCTATGTTGAGCTCTGATGCGCCTACTCCCGGCGCCCCGTCTCCTGCTCCGTTCGCGGAAATCCCGAATCTGGTCAGCGAAGTTGACCAGAAAACATATAATGTTAGGCCATTCGGTCTGGATCATACAATCAACTTACGCGAGCTCAACCCTGGCGACATGGACAAGCTTGTCAGTGTGAAGGGCCTGGTGATTAGAACTACACCTATCATCCCAGACATGAAGGACGGTAAGTTCACAAGAACATTGTCAAAGTCTTTGGCTAATCTGGCTAGCTTTCTTCCGCTGCTCTGTATGTAATCATACCGTCAGGGTCGATATTGACCGTGGCAAGATCACCGAGCCCACCAAGTGCCCGCGCGCCGTGTGCGAGTCGCCAAACTCGATGCAGATCGTGCACAACCGCTCAGGCTTTGCAAACAAACAGGTTATCAAGCTACAAGAGACACCAGATGACATGCCGGACGGTCAGACACCACATTCAGTGTCCCTGTGCGCATATGACGAGCTCGTCGATGTATGCAAAGCCGGTGACCGTGTTGAGATCACTGGTATCTTCAAGTGTAACCAGGTTCGCATCAATCCTCGTCAGCGATCGGTAAAGAACATCTTCAAGACATATGTCGATGCGCTTCACATTCAGAAAGTTGACAAGAAGCGACTTGGTATTGATGTATCGACCATCGAAGAAGAGCTCGCTGAGCACGCAGCTGGTGATCTGGAAGAAACCCGCAAGGTTTCCGAAGAGGAAGAGGAAAAGATCAAGGCTACTGGTGCTCGTCCTGACGTTTACGAACTCCTTTCTCGCTCGTTGGCGCCCAGTATCTACGAGATGGACGATGTCAAGAAGGGCATTCTGCTCCAGCTTTTTGGCGGCACCAACAAGCAGTTCGAAAAAGGAGGTAGCCCGAAATACCGTGGCGATATCAATGTTCTGCTCTGTGGTGATCCTTCCACAGCCAAATCTCAGATTCTGCAGTACGTACACAGAATTGCGCCACGAGGTGTGTACACTTCTGGAAAGGGTTCCTCTGCTGTCGGTTTGACTGCGTACGTTACCCGCGATCCTGAGACACGACAGCTAGTGCTTGAGTCTGGTGCGCTAGTCTTGTCCGATGGTGGTGTGTGCTGCATCGATGAGTTCGACAAGATGTCTGAGGCAACTCGATCCGTTCTCCACGAAGTCATGGAACAGCAAACAGTTTCCATCGCCAAAGCTGGTATCATCACAACTCTCAATGCCCGTACTTCGATTCTTGCATCCGCCAATCCTATCGGATCGAAATACAACGTCAACCTTCCCGTCCCTCAAAACATCGACCTCCCACCCACACTCCTCTCACGTTTCGATCTTGTATACCTCGTCCTGGATCGCATTGACGAGCAAAACGATCGTCGCATGGCTCGTCATTTGGTCGGCATGTATCTCGAAGATACGCCTGAGAATGCTTCCAAGAGCGAAGTAATGCCTATCGAGTTTTTGACCGCATACATCTCCTATGCGCGCTCAAATATTCACCCAAAGATCACCGAGCCTGCATCGAAAGCTCTTGTGGATGCTTACGTTGCGATGCGTGGTCTCGGTGCTGATATTCGCTCGCAAGAGCGAAGAATTACAGCAACTACACGTCAACTAGAATCAATGATTCGTCTCTCTGAAGCCCACGCCAAGATGCGCTTGTCTGAAGAAGTTACGGCTGACGACGTTCACGAAGCCGTCCGTCTCATCAAGTCAGCGCTCAAGCAGGCAGCTACGGATGCACGTACAGGTCTTATCGACATGTCGCTTCTCACTGAAGGCACTTCGACCAGCGACCGCCGCAAGAAAGAAGACCTCAAGCGCGCGGTGCTTGCCTCGCTCGACGAGCTTGGTTCTGCTGGCCAGAGCGTGCGCATGAACGACCTGGTCAAGAAGGTCAGGGAAGGTGCTAGTGAACAAGTGGAAAATCAGGAGTTCCTTGAGGTATTGCGCAGTGCCGAGCTTGAGGGTGCTGTCCAAATTATTGGTGAGGGTATGAGGAGAATGGTCAAGAGGGTTGTTGGTAACTTCTAGATCAACTATTGTAGGCATGGCGTTCGAGGGGTTATGGGACAAGCATACCTTCATGAGGTAATGATGTGATGTGGTGGATGGATAGCTGCAAGCATTTCAGTAGTCGCGTTGCATTTGAATAGACATCGTGTTCTGCCACTGTTCTTTCAGAGACATCTACTGTCCTTCAAATTGTATGAATGTTGGATGTTCAGTCAACCATTAGGTGGAAGTGCTCGAGAACAGGGGCTGACTCAGCGGCAAGCCTCGGCACAGACTGTCAACACCAGTTGCTCTTACACAACGTCCGCAACAGCTCGCGCTCATGTTCACGCTATATTCTTACAATGCTCAACTTGTGTAGTGAAATCTCCGTGAAAGCTCGATGCAATCTAAGCAATAAATATTACCGCCCCTTCGTGCTTTTCAATTGATAGGTAGTTAATTGCTTGACGGCTACTCAGTTCCATAGCTTGATCTCAGTATCCACCCCCGCCCGAGACGACACCAATCACGGCTACAATGAAGGCCTCCAAATTTGCACCGAAGACGCCCGCAGAGAGGCTAGCGCAATCAAAAGCCGATAAGCTCAAGCAGGACAAAGATCGAGTTACGCGACTGTTAGGACGCGTCCGGTGGAAAGCAGAAATGCTCATGGTGTCTTACTTCCGGACCATGGAGATTGTACAGGCAGCTGCTCAGCAGAATGGGGATCACCAGTCCCAGCATGCAATGGGTAGCGGCGCGTCGAGTGTAAGTGGTTACGAGCCTCAACAGCCTGGACGCCTCAAGACTGACATTGCGCAGAAGCAAGCCGAATCCATGTTCAAGGTAGACTTCTTCGAGTTTTACACGCTACTAGAGCGTTACATCACAGACTGTCTCGCTATATTCGGCGTTTTTGTTTCTACCTCTGCGCCGCGCATAAACTTCAATGCTCTCCGTTACGAGACCAACCCCGAGCTTCACCGAACGCGACCGATGGCTTCGCATGCATTCCACGCCAACCTTCTAGAAGCATTGGATAACGAGAAGTGTCCGTTGGCAGGATCACTAGGTCTACAAGAGGTCCGTGTACAACTGGGTATCGCAAAAGAATACCGTAATGCTTGGAAAGATGCGGATAGCAAGGCAAACATATCTGACGGCGATGAGCGCGCACATATAACGCTTCAAAATTTGCAGCTAGAGGATGTCTTGCGCAACATCATTGGCGGATGTGACCTTGCTCACGAAGCAGTGCAGCAGCATTCCGATGATACTACAAATGGGCGTGCACTGACTAGCCAAGACTTTGAACCGAAGAACATGTACGGACATATGAGCATGGAGATTGAGGATACACCATTTGAATACATGGACGACGCGATGGAACTGGATTGAATGTGATCTCTTGATTTATAGAGTACTGTCTATGGAGGAACAAGACTCTCCACTACTCACGCGCCGCGAACCAACGTACCCGACAGTATACACACACCCTGGCTTCACTTCTCAGATGGAGCAAGCACACAACGAGTGCAGCTCCTGAGATGTACTCCTCGAACTACGCCGACATCTTCAATCCACACCGATGAAGAACGTTCTGGGAATAGCGAGAGCATATAACCGCAAGAGATATGTAGTAATGCATAACAAGACAAGGTCAGTTGACTACATACTCTTGATTTGCATCTACTCCTACTCGCCCCTTCCCTTTCTGTCTGCCTCGCCATAAGCACAGAAACTGAGCCGCAGCGCTCGTCTGCCCAGTGTATATGATTGGATTCATTCTGTATTCCCCTTCCCCTCGAGCTCGCGTTACGTTATTTCTGTCTCAAGCGACCACCGACCTACTTTCTAGTCTTTCCTCAATTCCACCCATCGCTTCGATCGGGCTCATCGACCGTTCTTGCTCAATACCAATCTTTTGCATCATATGTTCTTCTTCTGGCTCTTCGTCTTGCAAGACACTGTCCGCGCGATATCTGTTGCCATCCGCCTTGGCTGCTGTCTCCTCATGCACAAGCTTCTCTTGTTCCAATTCCCACTTGCACCTCTCTTTGCAATCCCAGCATACATTTCTCTTACATACGCGCATGTCGTACTTCCACTCATGTCGGTTCAACATCTCCTGACAGTGTGCACAGTCCATCGGAATGACAATCGTCTCCATATCGCCGCGTCGACGTGCAATGCTGAGACCCTTGCTAGTGCGTGTGTACACCTTCAAGTCTCCCTCGCTGTTAATGTCGACACCATCGAACACAACGAGCTTGTCGACCTTGCACCACCACGCAGGTCGACCTTCAGCTTCTGTCCGCGCACGAACTGATGTGCTGGTGAACGCGTCCATCTGAGCACCTGGACCAGGCAGCCAGCAGCCATTTGTCATCTGCCTCGGTGGTGTAAACACACGCGTCTTTTCTTCCTCAACCCTTTCTTTCTTCGTCGACATGTTCAGTCGTTCCTGTAGTAGTGCGGTGGGTGACCTCAGAGCGGCTTTCGATTGTGTCTTTGAATTACGGATCAAATCGTACCGCTTCTCGAGCTCGGAGCGTGGCTTGGATGAGTCGGATACTGGGTTTGCTCCCAGGTTCAGCTCTGCGGGTCGCTTCAAACGTGCGATTGAATCTGTGCGTTGCCGAGGCGAAGACGTCGACGTTGAAGCAGTGTGCTTTGAAGAGACGGATGCATTTCTTGATCGCTGGTTGAAGTCACTGAGCGCAAGAGATGCGGGCCGCGATTGTGGTGGTAGATTTTCGTCGTCTGAGACGTACACGCCGGAGTCTCGGTCGTGGGATTGAGTCGAGGTTTTGTCCATTGCGGATGGTACTGGTCTTTTGGGGGAGTTTTCGTGGTTGGGGGACCGTTCAAGAGAGGAAGACAAAGGTTCCAGCTGTTTTGGAAGTTTTTCTTGAGTCCGTTGGGGAGCTTCCGATCGCTCTTCGTTGATGATGGTACGCGACTCATCCGCTGCAGTAGCACATTGGAGTTGCCCTGATGACGAGGATTTGGGTGGTGGTGCTGGCGGATTATCATTGTCGGTGGAAATCAACTTCTTCGAGTAGTTTTTGACTTTGGAGTGGACTTCTTGCTCCGACTCCCTCGTCGAAAGATCTTGTTCAGCAGCAGATGGCGATGCAATAAGCGGCTCGGTCTCTAATACTAGGTCAGGTCGTGGTGATTGTAGTGGCATGGCGTCATCGTCAAAAAGGAAGACACCGGAATCTTCGCCATCTGGATTCAGGTCCAAGTCCTTTGTTACCAAAGGAATGAGGATACTGGGTTGCTCAGTCGCAACATCCTCAGTAAGCAGTGGTGTCTTCGTAAGATCGACTTTGGAGCTCTTCCAGAAAGCGAATGACGGCATAGTGAATCGGAAAAGACTGTGAATACGATAAGAATCGATATTGAGTAAGATGGAAGGCTGTATCTTGCATCTGTGTTGCTGGCGAGTTGTTCTTTACATATCTTGAGTCGCTACACATTCAGCATGGGCTACAGGCTCAGCCCCCGCATCACACACATACTCGACCTACGTCGCTGTTTCCTCTTGATTCACGCAACAGTACTTTGTGTAATCTCTCTTGCCCTTCCAGAAGGTTGCTCAGCTTCCAAAATACCATGTGCTGTGGAGTCGGTCGATTCGAAACACTGACAGCTGGGATCTGGTTGGTGGCATGTTTGACACATCCCAGCTCGGACCTGTATCAGATGGAATTACGACGTTTATGCGCACCTTACACAGGCTTACAAGGACTAGGATCATGCTGTTGTCTATCGATAAGAGGATGTGCGACGGGGATGAGCTTTATGCGTGATGATGGTGGTTGTTGGATGTATCTGATCTACGTAGTTTCCCATGGACGTTTTGAAACAATCACACGGGGAATTGTCTATGCACGTACACTTCTTCTGCTATTGCCTTCATACTTCCGTGCGGAAAAGCATGATGGCCTCTTTACTCGTACCTGGATACTGCTCAGACGACTCGTCCCTTGACCTGCTTGATGTTCTTGACGTTGATATCGCGCCAGAATGCAGCCGCAATGAGAGCGCATGACAGCATGCAAATACTCGTAATCAACATGAGTCGCTGCGAGTCGGCGTAAGACTGTGCGATACCAGTTCTCTCCGGCGATCCCCACTTGTACGATAGCTGGTTCGGCAATGAAGCGTAGATGTCCGCAACATTGACACCAGCCGGAACATTCTTGACGAGATTGTTGTAAAAGGTTCCAGTCCAGATAGCAGCCGAGACGGTACTTCCAACTGCACTACCAATAGAGCAGAAGAGGTTGAGAACGGCGATGATGACAGCCATGTGCTGGTGATCCGAAGGCGCCATCATGGCCAGCTCGCCAGCGATAACGATGGTACCTCCAGCTACTGCTGTAAAGATCTGCGTCATGACAATGTAGCCCACTGATGTTCCAGGTTGACGAAAGTGAATCATTAGTCCCAGCGCTAGGATATCAATCGGCAGTGCAAAGAAGACAGCAACCCACTTGAACCTTCCTGTAATCCTAATTGCTGGTCCCACGGCTGCCAAGCACCAGAAGCAGGAGACAACCCGATAGATGCTCTGGACATAGCTGGCCGTAGTGACGTTGAGGTTCCAAACCACTTGCAACATGGACCCGAAGTATGATCCCCAAACCGCGCTGTTGAAGTAAACAAAGACGAACATGACGCCGGCAAGGAAGACGGTTCGATCCAGTAGCAATTTATACGGGATGAATGTGACAGGCGCGAAGAATCTTTCCCAGATGGGGAAGGCGATGAGAAGGACGAAACCAGCGACGATCATACCGATGATCATGGGACTCCTCCACTTCTCCACTTGGTAGCTGTATAGACTGAACGGTAGCAAGAACAATGCCATGCCTGCTACCAAGATCAGTATTCCCACGGCATCAATATCGATGCAGAACTTCTTGATGGCTGCCGGGCTCCAGTCAATTTGGCGTGGCTCGAGTAGACCTTGTTTACGGGCTTTGCGATCGTTGAAGAGGACCAAGGCTGCAAGAGGAACGACGACAACAGGGATGACGATTGTGAAGATGCCAAACGCCCAGCGCCAGCCGGGGCCAGCGAGAACGGATTGAGCGACAGGGCCGCCGATCCAAGTTGTGATTACGTAGGGCGAGGTTGCGAAGGAGAGCATGAGGGCGCGGTTCTTGAGGGTCGAAGTATCGGCGATGAAGACAGTAAGAATGTACGATACTGCTTGAGATCTGCATATCATCGTGTCAGCGCTAACATTTTCTTATCTTGATCAGTAATGAACAAGAATTACATACCCTGTAGATGAGAAGACTTGCGCCGCAGCATATGTCTCTACATTCTGGCACGAAGCCATCATGATGTATCCCACCATCCATACAAATAGTGAGAGCAAGAGCCCCTGAGGTCGACCCCACATATCGAGCAGCTTAGCCAAGGGGATCTTGGACAGCCCGCCAATGATGGATGACATGATTCCAGTAGCGGCAGTAAGAGAGTGTAGACGGAAGGCACTGGTAACATAGGGATTCATGGCGCGGACGACGACTTCTTGGAGGGCGGTGACGAAGTAGATCCACCAGATGCTGCGTGGGTGTCAGTGAACATACTGGACGATGATGTGAACGAAAGGGGGTGACAAACATAACATAGGCGCCGATAAGATGGTATCTTGTCCATACTGATGCTGCAGCTTGGACGGCCTTGACACCTGCCTGAGCGTTGCTGGAGAGACTTTCTTCGTCGCTGACCGTGTCGTGGGGGCCATCTGTCTGGGCGCCTTTTTCCGCATCGCTGGTTTGACGAGAAGCCTCAACAGGCTCGACCGAGTCAGTGGCCCTGTCTTTGGAACGATCAAAGAAGTGCATAATTGAAGAGAGCGGAGTGATCACAGTGTGACCAGAGAACGAGGCGGAAGAGATCAGCAACGAGAGATGCCACGGTCAAGCAGTACAAGTTTCCACTACATACTCTTATACCACCCTCAAGCTTCTAGAGGCCTAATACACCCGTTCAACACTCGTATAAGACCCAGGAACGCACTCCTTCAGATCACCATCGATCCACCATTGGCCCCTCCCAAACCACATCACTGGAAGCACCTTCGATTTTTGCACTGGTTATATGACTATACAACAGTCTCGAGGACTTGGCATAGCTTGGTACGAGAAAATCGATACCCAGACTAGCAACAAGGATGAGTAGGGTGGAGTGAAGGCGTTCGTGAAGGAGACTAGCGTGGAAAATTCAATCTGATTAGATGTAAAGATGATCTTATCGCGGACAGTCGGAGTCGGAAAAGCCCGGTGCAAGCTCGGATCTAGGATTGATGAGGAAGAACATGCGACGTGTTGTTTGCACGTGAATTCGATATTTAAATGAGACTGTTATATTATCTCTTGGTCGCCTTGTGGGGCTGGCAAGTCTCCTCGGTGTTTCCGAAGAAGTTGAAAGTGCATGCTGTCGACGCTGGCGGTTGGGCATGAGAGATGTCACTATGTTGCGCGGGCCCAAACGGAGTCGAAATTGGACCATGATCGATGACCATCCATCATGTCACACGGAAAAGTGCTGCGCCTCTTCAACATGGCATGTATGGCAATGCGCTCCCGAGGTTACAGTGTCTCAGTGGTTTCGGCCGGCTAAAGGGCAGCAGCCGGCACACAGTGGAATCCCCCAGGGGCTATTGGATAGACTCATACCCGTCTGAGGTGAGAGCGTGCCGACCCACGAGTGACAGACAGGAAACTACGTGAGCAGGAGTGGGATGGTTGCTGAAGTACGTGGGGTGCTGCTCACTTGCCAGTTGTGTTGTGCATGGGATTTGCTTCTGCTCGAGTGCCGACATGGCGCGAAACCCTTCAGGGAACCTAGTTTCTGGCTATCGCTATCACGGTGTTGGTTGTACAGGCCACGGGTAATTCTGAGGCGTCTGGCATAAGACGGGCAGGCCGCAGCTGACAAGGCGAAGTTGTGTTATTCGTCTCATTCCGGGTACGTCTTTGTGATGCGCTGTCAAATTGTGCCTGCAGCCTGAAAGCGCCTCGTCAGCGTTCCCGCCCAGGGCTGGCCCGACAATGGCATGCTGCCTTGGATCGATCCTACACTACCCTACATCATCGACCTGCAGCGCTTCAACACGACGTTAAACCGTCTACATCGTCGCCTATTGCCAACCCCCCTGTTCCGACAGCGACAACTCAGTACCCACGCTACCCAACAACCGTTTGACGCGTAGTCGTACTCATTACAGCAGCCTCATCGCTTTGACCGCCTATTCGTACCGGGCCGCGCTGTTGTCCAGGCCCGAACCCGCACGAGATGCCACGAGTGCTTTGGCCCATTGAAGCAAAAGCACGTCCATGATGGCTTCGTCCAGATCCACCGCCGCTGACGAACTCAACGCCTTTGAGTCCTTCACAGGCGTCGAGGAGAGTGCAGAGCCCACTACGTCAACCACCCGCGACGACTCCACCGTAGACATGGCCAGAGACACGTCTGCGCCGCCCATGGGCCAAAACTCGGCTGGCCAGCGCCTGTTCCATGCGGCCAACTCGCCTTCGCCGCTGTCGTCGCGAGAGGCTTCTCCTCGCCCGCACAAGCGCAATGCCACCCCGTCGGGCGCAGGCACGACTGCCAGGCCTTCCTTCAGAACACGCAAGAGCAGCGCCGATGCCAGCCCAAGTCGAGGTTCCAGCTTGTCCAACTCGACGACCGCCGCCGCCGCCGCCGCCTCAGGCCATGCCACCCCAACGGTGCAGCGGGCTCTGTCCTCCACCAGTATACCGGAGCTCACGCCTACCTCATCGACCGACACTGTACGAGCCCCGCGCCCTTCCAAGCCATCGTCAAAGTCGAATTCCGGCGAGACGACTCCCCATTGGCCCCTCTCGCCGCGCCTCAAATCACCACCACCGGGCGATGACGGCCGCTCACGTTCGCGCACAAACTCGCTGCGTGCGCAAATTAGGAAGCCCGAGGCTCAATCTGCACCCTCAATTGTCGTCCAGAGCTCATCGCCCGCCTCGCTCTCTCGCTTCCCAGTGAGAGAAGAGGCACCCGCAAGCGACCCCGACGAGCCTCAGCCACAGCCCGCGCCCAAAGCAACCTCGCGGAGTTCCGGCGGCGTGGCTCCCAAGCTCGCAACGGTGCAAGAATCTAGCTTGCCTGCCACACCCGGATTTGATGGTCTAGAGCCGCAAAGGTACGCTTTCCCCGCAACGGCCCCACTGTTTGTCATCGCGACGCACGTTAGACTAACCACGGAGCCAATTTCCGTTCCCATCCGCAAACTTTGTTAACCTCGTTCTTAGCTTTGTTCCCTCAGCGACTGCCCACAAAACCGATCAGGACCGAAATGACGTC